GTGTTCAGGGTACCCCGTTTTTTTTGTCTTGTTTTTGTTTTTTGAGAGAGAGAAAGAGCGTAAGCAGGGGAGAGGGGCAGAGGCAGGGAGAGAACCCCACGACCCTGGGATCATGACCTGAGCCGAAATCAAGAGTTGGGATGCTCTACCGACTGAGCCACCCGGGCGCCCCAGACTACCAGTCTTTGTAACTTGCTAAATGTCGGTGGGTCCCAGGCCTCAGTCCTTGGGCCTCTTTGCCTCTGTCTGCTCGCTAGGAGATCCCGTCCGGCCTCAAGGTTTCCAGTAGCCCCAAGCCCTGACCTCTCTGGACTCCAGACTCCTATCGACACCGACCGTCCAAACTTCACACGGCCAAAGCCAAGCTCCTAATCGCCGTCTACAGGCTCCTCCTCCCCGGGGTTCCCCACCTCAGGCCCCGAACCGTGGGACTCACTGACTTGTCCTCACGGCCACCCCGTGCCGGCTACACTCAAAACCCACATCGCTTCCAAGCCCTCCTCACTACGTCTACTGTCGTCACTCCTGGCCACTCCTGTCATCCTTCCCCCTGCGTGATGGCCTCCCCGTGGGACTATTCTTCTGCCCTTGCCTCCGTGCGGTCTATTCTCCACACAGCACTCAGGGGGATCTCTTTAAAACACAAGTCAGATCCCAACTGTCCTCCGCTCTAAACCCTCCCGTGGCTCCCAATCTCTCCCCAAGTGAAGCCAAGTCCTTACCCTAACAGGTAAGGCCTACAAGCCCTCCACAACCCATCACCTCCTCTGTGTCAACCCCCTACATGCCGTCACTCTCCCTCTCGTCCATTCGCTCTGGCGGTTGCACTGGTCTCCCCGATTTCCCTCGCAATTCCTCAAACGTGCCACGTTTGCCCCAGGGCCTTTGCACCTGTTTCCTCTGCCTACAAACCCTTTCCCGACAGAGATCTTTGGGTTCACTCCCTCACTTCCTGTGAGTCTCTACTCAAATGGCACCTTATCACAAATACTTCCCTGACCCTGACCGCACTATTTAAAACAGCAAACCCACTCTAGAAACGTCCTAATTCCCTTACCTTGCTTTTCCTCTTCTCTGTGAGGACGCACTGCACATTTACTTAGTTTCTTCTCGTTCCCTTCCCCCGCTAGCATTACGTTTCATGAAGCCAGAGAACTTTCGCTCCGTGAAATCCCCAGGGCATAGAACGATGCCTAAAACGTGGTAATGATATAATGGGGAGCCACAGCAAGGGCCGTGGGCCAAGCACTGCCCTGAGTGCCGTTCATACATCGTCTCGTGTAATTCACACAGCGGCGCGATCGCAAGGTGCCAGAACTCAGCAGCACGAAAGCGGCCCCACAGCCCAGGACATTTCCTGAGCAATAACACAAAACATGTGTCACACTACACCCAGGTGCTGTCTCTGGGCACCTGAAATAACCGTACGCTGTTCCATTTTACCCTCACGTCAACTCCATCAGGCCAGCTTTGTAACCTTCGCCATTTTACAGAAGAGGAAAGAACATAAAAACTCGCCCCGGGTTGCTTCTAGCACATAGCGACAATAACGACAGCAGCTAAGACGTACATGAGCCAATGCATATAAAGGAACGTGCCAGATACTTTCCTAAAAGCTGGAAGGCATGGACAAGGGGGTTGGGGTTGGAGGTCAGACAATGTAGAGCAGGCTCCTGGGTCTGTATCTACCCGGACTCGGTTGATGCCGCCATAGTGGGGCACCATAGCCAGCTCCAGCTGAGGCTTCCGCTCCTCCTCCTCCTCTTCATCTTCCTCCTCCTCCTCCTCATCGCTGCCCTCCGATGGCGGGGGTTTTGTCCCATGCAGATTATGCATCCGAAGCATCATCAGTCTGGGGGAAAGCGTGGGGTGAGTGAGGCACGGGATGCCAGGATACTCAGAGAGAAGGGGGAGAGAAGCCGGAAACCTCGATTTCTAGGTCCTGGGGAAGAGGGAGCTGGGGGTTCAGACTCCTGGTCCTAGGAACACCTCAGATTTCACTCACCTGTTGCTCTGGGCGCTCTCCGCCTGGGTCCCAGCGCACAGGTAAAGTGTAAGAGGAAGCTCTGTCCGGCTGTCTCCCAGATGATCCCGGACTATGTCGAAGCTAAGACAGGGGGCGCCTCGGGATAAAAAGAGAGGTCGCAAAATTAGAACGGGACAGAGATCTCAACACCCCCCTCGCGTGTGAAGTTTTCATCCGTCTTAGAGCCCAGTCTTCTCTCTCAGAGTGCCTCGTAAGTTAAAGACTCCGGACCAGACCCGCTCGGGAGTCAGGATTCCAGTCCCCTTCCTCCTCAGGACCCAGGAGTCCCGGTGCCCGGCCCTACCAGTCTGCGCTCGGTGGTACAGCACGTAAGCCTCCTCGTCCATGACCAGCTCCTCTCCTTCGCGGAGCGGCGGTCCCCGCCCGGGCAAGTAGACCTGGGCAGGGCCTTCGGTCCTTGCGTCGCTGGACTCGGCCTCCATGGGTTCCCCGGTCCCACACGTGCGCCGCCTCCCCTTGCGCGCCGCCATCTTCGAAGCCTCTCACCGCCGGCGCGCAGGGAGGACGTCACTTCCGGGTTGCTGTTTCCTTCTTCTGAGATCCGCTCGGCTGCACGGTTGCCTTGGAAACCTCCGAGCTCACCAATTAGAGAGGGCGGCGGGGAGAGGGTGAAGGAGAACTAAGGCAAAGGAGTCCTAGCCTAGCGACCGAGGCTTGCGGATTCGGAGAAAGTACACCCTTCGCGTGACTTTGCGGCGCTTTTCTGCGGAGCG